GAGGTGGGCTGGGGTGCATCGTGGGTCACTCCTGAGCTGGTCGATGAAATGATGGTAGGTGCTGGAAGAAACACAGGCAGAGAGGGGTTGATATAGAAGAAACTTGGTGACTGTGCATCAACCTGTCTGGGAAGGTAGAGTGGAGCCAAGGTCCGGAGGAAACAGGTAATCCGAGCAGACAGAGAATAACCAAACAATATTCTTATTGTACACAAAAGTACTGGGATAACGAAGCAAAACAACAAATGAGTAAGTACTAGGCAAAGAGACGAGGTGAAGGCTAGAACGTGAACGAACTGGCAAGTGAGTGAGAGGTGAGCTGGGTATAAATAAGGGCAGCCTAAGGAGCGCAGCTGGTGCTAATTATGGGAGTGAGGAGCAGGTGTATGATATGAGCAATCAGGGGCTAAGAGAGACAGAGTGAGGAAGGTGAGAGAGGCCAGAGTGGCCGAGCAAACCTGACAATTCAAGATTTTTATTTGCCATTTATGCATAAACAGACAGTCTAGACATATAGGAATTCTTGTACAGCTCTCCTTTGGAGTCAGGTAAGGAGTCAAAAGCCAGAAAGAACACTTAGTCTTAAAATAGAAAAGTTACATAAAGGCAACAAAGCATTAAAACTGCAATACACAAAAATAGAGTAATTGTATTTTCCCCAGTGAACTTCAGACATCGCACGTAGTAATTCACATGGCGAAGTTGCATATGTCATTACGCTGGGTGAGGTAGTGAGGGGTTATTGCACATACAATATATTCTCACATTTCTCACATTTTCGTATTTGCCATCAGTCTTACTGTGGCAGGGAAAAAGCTGTAAAGTCTTGTTCTGTGTGTGATGATACTGTCCATCCTGCTGTGCCTGAAGCTGTAGGTGCAGTTTTTGTGTCTGAGCAGAGAGTGAGCTGGGTGGCGTGGATACCTGATTATGTTCTCTGCCCTTTTATGACAGCACTGCATGTATAGTGTGTCCATAGCAGGCAATTCAGTCCCAATGATCCTCCCTGTGGTCTTTATGACCCTTTAGCCCCAGAATGGTGGTGTCATGAGCATATTTAATGATGATGGTGTTGTCATGGTTGGAGACACAGTCGTGAGAGTGTACAGGGAGCTGAGACAGCAGCCCTGAAAGGTTTAAAATCACCTAAGTTTGGTGACTGACAGTGGTTCAACTGCCACTTATGTAAAGGTTAACAGATAAAAGCACTGACACAGGTGAAGAATAAATACACGTAAAATATCAGAGATGAAAGTATCAAAATATCAGTTCAAAATAAGAGATTAAAACAATAAAATTTGAATTGAAATAATTTTAGGATTTGAATGTGAGCTGGTATCTTGGACACACTTGGAGCTCATGCACCTGTAATATGCTCTTGCTTATATACCTGTAATACAGTAGAGCTACAATTAACTTAATAACTGTCAAAACATGCCAGGGGGTTGAAGACATCTGTTGCAACTATGCTGAACCAAATCTGAACATGTAGTTTACAGTTCATGGGCCTGTCATGACGCTGGCCTGTCAACAAACAGCAGCATGTTAAAAAAAATGCATTCACCTGGTCGGGCATTCTCACTTCCTCAGTATCTTATACCTTTTGATTCTTATGAAGCCTGCGTACACCTTCTGTTGTCAGGACTCAGGTTTGACTGGTATGTAGGCACTTAAAAAAATGCATATACTGTTTTTTTTTTTTGGAATTCCTTGCAGTCACTAAGGTATGTGCATTTGTGTGTGTGTGTGTGTGTGTGTGTGTGTGTGTGTGTGGCAGTGTGGCGGCAGTGTGGAGGTCCTACCCTGCTCCAGGATTGCCCACATTGAGCGTGCCCACAAGCCCTACACAGAGAACCTGACAGCTCACGTGCGTCGTAACGCTCTGAGGGTGGCTGAGGTCTGGATGGACCAGTACAAGAGTCACGTCTACATGGCCTGGAATGTTCCACTGCAGGTGAACAGAATGTGTGTGTGTGTGTGGGGGGGGTAATTGTGAACATCCTTATTTAGCAATAAGCTTTTAATCAAAGTGAATACTGTAGATAGTTTTGATTTTTAAAAAGTGCTGCTGTGACACCTGAAGCCAGCCTGTTAGCCCTGTTTCAGGCAGGTACAGCCAAACTGTTGAGATGAAAATTTTCCAAAAACCTTCCCAAAGGGAGTTTAAAGCTATGCCATGTCAATATACGGTTATCATAACAATAAACTGTATTTTTTACACAGGTAGCATTGCCTGTCTAAAACTCAGACCTCAAAGCATCATAAGCACGCCTATTCAGTTCTGGTGGTAATTGGGATAGGTCTTTCAGAAATGGTGCTCACATCTACTTTTACATAAAGCAGGACCTCAGCTAACATTTATTTTAATTAAATGACAATTTAGTCCATTGTCAGAAAGTAGTAAAAATTCACCTCTTCAAATTTCTTAGTCTGACATCATAACTTCACAGTGATTGTTTTGTTTCGAACAACAGCTTCTAGTAAGCATGGATGCTTGACATTACTGCTTCATTATACTGTATCACTCTAATTTAATTTTCCAAACTTTTTTCAAAGAGATTCTTAAATTCAGTGTCTTCACTGAATGAAATCCAGTCCTTTTGTTCTGTGACTGCTCCTTAAACATTTCTCACTGTCTTCCTGCTCAGTTATTATTTCTAGATCTTGCATTGTCTTTCTAAGGACAGTGCTGAAAGGACCCATGGGCCCTGAATTCAGCACTTATTTTTTTATTTCTTCCACCATTGGAGAGCTTATTGTATTTGTTGGACTACTCTAGATTGTCAGTGAAATGCTCTGTGTAAACTCAGATGTGCCTGTTTTTGTTTCCTTCTGTAGAATTCGGGTATAAACATTGGGGACATCTCAGAGAGAAAAGCCCTGCGATCCAGACTCCGGTGCCGATCGTTCAGCTGGTTCCTGTCCAACATCTATTCTGAGCTCAGATCTTACATTGATACTGTTGCTTATGGAGTGGTGAGTTCAGTTTCTTCTTAGTTCCCTGGATTCAGGCGCATTGTGAGTCTGTAGTCTTTATTAGAGTAAATGACTTTATAGCTATCCTGAAAATGGGCTCATTACTTACAGTACACTACTCTGAACCTGCGGGCTGGGGTCCAGACTTTGTGGACATGCTTCTGTGGCCTCCTATATCAGACAAGTAGCCACTGCACTCTACACTTCCCCACTCTGTCCCTCCTGGTAGTTACAGATAACAGAAATCCCTCAAAACAGAAAGTAAAGGACTGTTTGAATTCATTATGAAATAGGAACAAGACACTCCTTTGGCTTTATAAAAAAATTAATACGCCTTGGTTGTGGCAGCTTTACCAGCATGGAGTTATGAAAATGTGTGAACACATTTCTATGTGTTTTGTTCTGTCACATTTCAGCCAAAAGGAAAGAATATTTATAAAGACTCTTAATGTTCTGCTTCAACTAATAAGGTGTTCTTGTTTAGATAAAGAACAAAAGTGTTGTGACTTACTGTAATATTTTTGACAGTTGTGCTAAATCTGCATTAACTATTGTATCTGGGGCACAACAAGCACTAACATATCACTATTTTATAAAGTGGGCATGGACCACTTGTTAGTAATAAGTTGCCTATTGACACATCCAGCAGACACAGAGCATGGATTATTTGGAGTTCTGTCTGTGTCAGCCTGATGAATGTAACTCCAATATTCATTCTTTACCGAAGAGGTAGGGCCACTGTAAAAATATATTTGAATTGATGTTTTTCTCAGAATTCTGACCTTTTAAAGTCCAAATCCTGGGATCAAACTCAGAAAACTGAGTTGAAAAATCCATCCAAAAATCATTTGGTTATAGTCATGTCATGAACACTGAAATAGAGGTAAAACAGCTTAAACACTGCCTCATCAGGCCTTTATTACCTGCAATGAGGTTATGTGGTTATAGGATTGTTCACAGTGAAAATCAAAAAGTAATGACTAGATATGAATGAAAGGTTTTAGAGCTGTAGGGTATGGCCCAAGGAACAGGCCATTAGATTTTGCTGGTGATCCAGATCATCATTTGGATCCAAATGTGAGATAGGGTAAATTTCTGTGTTTTTGCTTCTAACCTCATACATCCTGCCTCCAAGGCTTGGACAAAAATTGCAAAATAACATCCCCATAAGATCTAAAACACACCAAAGTATTATTCAAGTAATATTCTGGATGTGAGCCAGAATTAAGATCAAATTCTAGCTGAAACTCTGTATCTTCAACACTTATTGAATTAGATCCTGAAGAAAACCGCAATTAGTCAAAATGAGTTTTTCTTGAAAAATGTTCAAACTAATAATGATATCAATTTAAAATCCAAATGCTAGTGGTGGGTTTTCATGGTCAAGGAGTATTATGAGGGTCAAACTATCATGGAATTCTTGCTTTTAGGTGTGATGGCATTATGGGGACAGTCAGCTACCTCGGTAGACGTTTGTGCTCTCAGAGTGCTGTTTAGTTATACTTCCTCTCTTGCTTTGCTCTCATTTCTCTTTACTATACTGTTGTTCATTAGACTCACCTGTTTTCCACTGAGAGTAATCATGTCATACTGTATTTAAGTCAGCTGTTTTCTTTCATGAACTGGCAGACTGTAGTTGCAAAGGTTCCCGGTGTTTCTTGCCAGCATAACAGGTCTGCACTCATATACGACCCATGTTTTCTCAACTTGTTTTTTTTTTACATTGTTGGAAGTGTGTACTGACTGGTGGCCCATGTTCAGATCTGGACATAGGTTTTGCTCACCCAGTTTGCCTTCTTAGCTTCTTGGTTTTGTTCATTGTTGGTTTTAGTGTTTATGAAGGCATCTCCTTGGTGTTTGGCTTTCATTGGTCATTATCAAAGGCTTCTAGAGGAGTGGCTTGATTAATTCCATCCATTCATTCATCTTCATCCGCTTCATCCGAGACCGGTTTGCGAGGGCAGTAGCCTGAGCAGAGCCTCCCAGACTTTCCTCTCCCCACACAAGTCCTGTAGCTCCTCAGGAGGAACCCCAAGGCATTCCCAGGTCAGCCGGGAGACATAGTCTCTTCAACGTGTCCTGGGTCTGCCCCAAGGCCTTCTCCCAGAGGGACATGCCTGGAATACCTCCCCAGGGAGGTGTCCAGGGGGCATCGTAAACAGGTGTCCGAGCCACCTCAACTGGTTCCGCTCATCGTGGAGGACCAGCGGTTCTACTCTGAGCTCCTCACGGGTGACTGAGCTCCGCACCCTATCCCTAAGGGTGCACCCAGCCACTCTCCAGAGGATACTCATTTCTGCCGCTTGTATCCGCGATCTTATTCTTTCGGTCATGATCCAAAGTTCATGGCCATAGGTGAGGGTAGGAAACGTAGATCAACCAGTAAATTGAGAGCTTCGTCTTACGAGTCAGCTCAATGATTAATTCCATTTTTAGGCATTTTGGTACTGTGTCTGCTTGTTTGTCTAGGTGTGTGGGTGTGTCTCTGGTGATCTACAAGTGGCATGTGTGAAGTGAGCTGATTATGAATTGGGAGCACCTGACTCTGCTGCTCTGCAGAGGTTAAATGCTGCAGCGTCCAGTCACTTGGTGCGGCTTTGCTGGGTCTTTTGCTCTCTCCCCACCATTGGCTAGCTAGCTATGCTTTTGTGTATTTCTGCCCTCATACAATATTTATACACTCAGCCACACATATGCTACTGATGTGACTGATTTACACACTTCATGCATTATTCACTTGTTTCTTTAGTGAATGTTCTGTACCGGAAACAAATTCCTTCTATGTGCAACATATTAGGCCAAATAAATGTGATTCTTATTATACTAAACTATAAATTGTAAATTGTGCCCATTCCCATTCATGGCCTACAAACCAGGTCATGACAGCACATGTTTATTCACCAGCGTGTTTTGCTTTTTTTTTAGTCACAACACCTGCCTGTGTTTAATCAAATTCTGCAATAAATCCTTATTTTACCACCATTTCCCTGTGACTCAGTCTGCATTTGGGTTATAAATTAAAATCCTTTTATCCAAATTGTGACAGATTTCCTTTAATACTTAACTTTTCTTGTCCAAATTTTTCTAACTTTCTTCTCTAATTATCATTGTCTATTGTTTCCCACAAAAAACGTAGTTGTATAGAAAACAAAATTGTGTTCAGTCATAACAGATGAAATGGGGTTGAAATGGCATAAACACCTCCTGAAGACTAAACTGTCCCATTAAAACTTAACCTTTCCAAATGTTTCAAGCTGTAAAACATTAACTTTTCCATTAATGTTGAACCTAATTGAATATACAACATGAGATATATGCTTTTCAGTAAGAGCTCACTTCACTTCACAGCAGCGGGGTATTGAAAGGGTGAACCTTTTAATGCCACTTAATTTCAGCATGACTATTCCTCTCTCCAGCTGACAGCTGTGGAAGGATTTTGCATAATTGAAAAATCACTGTAATCTATTGAAAGCTGAGCAGAATTATCCTGACTGCTCCCATTGATAGAGGAATAAAAGTGAGGACTTCTTGGCTGAGTCCACTCTCTAATAATCATTTTTGATTGTGGTCTTACTTAAACCTTGTGAACTGTGCAGATACAGTTTGAATCCTCTGACTTGGCTGCAGTCTTAAAATAATCATCACCCACAACCTGTTACCTACTTTGTACATGTTGTAAAGGTCTGATTCTTACAGCTTTACTGACTCTCTGCATAATTTCAAGTGTGTAGCTGCAGAAAAGACAAGAAAAATTATGAATTGATTGAAAAAAAATCCAGACATGGTTTTCCTCAGACATTAGCAGCAGCAACTGAGCCTCTAGCTCTGAACACTGTGCCTCCTTTTGTGTTTGTTGTTCGATAAACACTTCAATCACTGTGCAAGGAAAGTGGAGTTATTTGTTGACACCACTGAGCATGTGCGGGGGCTCAGCTCTGAGTGCATGTGATCAAAGCGTTGCCACAGTGACATCTGAGAGATGTAGATATGAAGTTTGACAAAAACAAACCCTCAGAGGAGATGGCAGTTGGAGAGAGTACAACAAGTGCTGTGGTGTGATACCATCTGTGGATGCTGTTTACACATTTGTCTCTTATTTAACATGAAACAAAAGCTGGAGAAATGCATTGCTCATACAAAGTAAATACTGAACACGAGATGTTGTGCCAAGCTGTGACATCACTTCCACACAGTGTAATGAACTTGAACTCTTTCACCAGTTTGACATTAGTTTTGTTTGGTTCTTTTTTGTTTTTGATTTCACAACATGCTTCTACAAGTGCTTCTTCTTTTCTTCCATCACTGCTTGCCTTTCTTCAGCCCCACTAAGGAATTAATTTCCTGCCTGGGGATGGAAAGAGTATGATGATCGACCTCAGGACCAAATGTCCGTCCTGGACTGTTTGCAGGCTGCAGAGCCATCTCAGCTGGAGACTGCCAGGATGGATAAGGCATGCAAAGTGCTTTCTATCTAAAGTGCATAGAAAGAGCAACATAAGCTGTGATGTGGATGAGAACGTAGCCAAAGGCTGAAGATCATATAGCTCAGAGCAGGGCTGTGCATACAGTATATGTTTTTTCCCACCTGTGCCTGGTTGGTTGGTTGTTGATCACTGACAGCACTTTCACATAATAATAATGATAAAGCTTCTACTGCAGCAATTCTGACAATTACAATTTTTTTTTCTGCTGTGCAGTACATTTTAAAAACAAAAGATAACCCATTCACTTATTGATATTATTATATTATGAACCCAGAAATACACACATTCATCATTCAACCTAAAAAGTGGCTTACAGTAAAAGGGAACTAAATGATAAAAACAATGGATTTTATATTGTCTGTAGTAAATGGGCAGAACTGAAACATGAAAGGTTTGCAGTTTATGTAATGCTATCAGTTAGTATTTTGACAGTCACAAACATGAAAGGTTTGCAGTGTTATGCTATCAGTTAGTATTTTGACAGTCATTGTGTTGTGACTGACTAAAGGTTCTTGA